AGAACACTGTGCTCAGCAGGGGCTGGAGGGCAGCTGCTTGACGGAGGTGCAACGTCTCCAAAAGGTGTCAGTGAGCTGGCTCCCACTTCACTCTCCCTCACTTCCTCTGCTTTTCTTACTGCCTCTTCTTATTACTTGCCAGACGATGTCAGATTTACTCCTCCAGCTCCTGGCTGCAGCTTCCTCTTCATCCTCACCCTCAGTAACCCTTATTTCATACCACAAAGGAGGTGCTGCAGCCAGCGTGGTCCTGTTTTCCTGGTGCCAGGTTTGCTGTACCTTGGCTACTTGCATTTTTTGTTACTTGCAAACACAGGGAATCTTATAAAGGACCTAGAATAAATCCTAGATACAATTTAGTGTGCTTAGTGATGTGACACTGGGCAGTATTTTATCCCACCTTTCCCAGGTTGGAAAAGGTCCCTGGGGAATAAACCTGGGTTGCTGGTAGCTTCTGCTGGGCTGTGATGTGGCCTGTGGGAGGAAGCAATTTAAAGAGTGATTTAAGGGTTTTAGGGTATTGGGTAGAGGCTGGGGGCAGCGAGGACCCGCAGCTATCAGCACAAGGGAGTGCCAGTCTGTGTGGAGGCTATAGGAAGTGATGCCTTGTAGGGGAGCTTGGTGAGACTGCTGGAGACCCATGGAGGTGGGGAGACAGCATGACACAGGGGGTTGCAGGGCACAGTGCAGTCAGCAACACACAGGAGACAGCAGCCGCTGTGGTGTTCTGAAGTTGGCGCCAGGGATGCTACTCCTCAAACAGGGCTTGTGAGCAGGTTTCAAGGCTTGGCTGCTGCACCAGTGGATCTGGGATAAAATGGGGACATTTTGTGTAGTTTGAGTATTCTGTGAACAATTCAACTTCGATTTGTGCCAGCATCACTGCTCTTACCCCAACGTGATGACAATTAAATTAAGTGCAACGTTTAATGACCAGCATCTCATTTCCTAATGGATGATTAAGGTTTCTTTTCCACACTCTGATGCAAATTTCTTTAAACTTAAAACCTACTAAGAGGAAAAGGGAACAATTCGTTTAAGACGAATCACAAAAACTTGCTAATTCATTTAGGTGTGTGCTCTGTGTTGTGGATGTTTTGCTATTGCAGGCTTTACTATACATGTGAAAAAACTTGCACCGTGCAAAGAGTTGGTTTCTTTTTCTTGACACCGAAACCACGATCCTCACTGGAGACTATGCAAACACAAAGGGACAGCCTGACCGTGCAAAGTGGTGCTTTTACTAGCAGCTCCTGATCGGGGGCAGGCATACCTCAGGGAAGGATCACAGCAGCTTCCTGCTCTCCCTCTCTCCCCCTCAGGTTCCCTGGCTGCAGTGTATGATTTCAGGTTAACGTTCCTTCATTTGTCAATTTAGCTGTATCTAAAACACAACTTACATCGAATGGTAAGATGATGTGCAAATTCAGCATCAGGAGATCAGAAACATCATATTCCTGTTGGTGGTTGCGTTGTTACATCTAACAACAGACTTGAGGATGGGCAGACAACCCTGTGTTGGGGTTTTTCTCTGTTGTGTTTTAAAGGGCTGTACGACCCTGAGCTGCTACCTTGTAGGAATTTTGACCTGATGTAACTGTGGGTGGCTAGTGTTCATCACTGGCTTCAGGATACAGCTCTTGCAAGGTCAAGTGCAATTATTGTACCTTTTCTGCCTTCTATTTTAGCTTCAAAGGACATGTTCTTATAGCTCCAAGTTGTTATGAAAATCATCTTTCTCTGGACTAAAATTTGAAGCTGCAATATTGACCATTTTATATGTCTATGATCAATGTTTCCGTGGTGAAGACACAGTGACATCCTCTTTCTGTTTTGACCCAGTCCATTTGCTATTTTAGCATTTCATATTTTCATGCTGCCTCACTCAGTGCTACACCCTACTCTTGTAGTTCTTTACTTGTGATTCAGATAACTTGTATTACCAACATAACTTACATCAATAACACATTCTAGATAAGAGAAAAATGATTATTTGAACTTGCTTTGTGTTTTTTTTTGGGTTGTTTTTAATCTGTTTATTTTGGGTTTTTTTCTCACCATCTCTCCAAAATGGTTTCAATTCTCTACTTTGGCACTAAATAAGACCTGGTTTTCTTCCTTCTTAAGGACACTGACTTACTGATTTTTACATGACAAATTCACCACCATTAAGACTACTCATCAGTATGCACAGCTATAGCACAAGATGTTTTCTTTTTTGACATCTCCAGCTTTGTAAATGTCTCTGTAAACTGTGAGGAAAAAGCAGCCATTTTGGCACATAAGTGGGCTGTACTACAAACAGACACATTTCCCAAGCAGGAACCAATCTGCAAAATATTGCCACCTCACATGCAATTAGGAATGAGATCGACTATCATGTCTTTACTTCAATATGCTAAGTGAGGTGATCAAAAATGGCCAAGCTGACAAAATGAAAGTATCCTTGATCAACATCTAAATACACATTTTTCAAAGGAAGCCATAGCTTTTTTTCATGCCTAACTATTCTGATAGCTGGTATTGATTTCACCCTGTCAGCTTGCATCTACTGGTGTTGATAAGGAGTCTTTGATAATATGTTGATTTTTCTCTTTCCTAAAAAAGCTAATTTTTCCCCTGGAGATGTATGGATTTTGGGTCACCTTGTTGGGTTTTCCCTTTTGTAGTCAATGAGTGACCTAGAACCTCCTGCCCCTATTTATTTATTTTTGACAAGCTTATCTGCTAGGTATTTTATCAGGGTCGATTTCCTCTGTGCCTTTGGCTTCTGAAAACTGAGAGTTAATTTTGTCCAGCAGTTAGGACCAACTGCACAACCACCTGAAGCTCCACAATGCTCATCAGCTCATTGGAGGGGCTGCAGGAAAGGCAAGCTGCTTCTGGTCTTGGACAAGGCTTTCCCCCGCTGCTTTGACCCAAAGAGAGATCCAGTCCTCTCCAGTTACATGCTTCGATTCCCTCACCAGCTCCTTTCCCACTTGTCCTATGAAGCACTGATGGGATGTTTCTTCCATCATTTACTGCAGCTCCTCTCAGGCTGGATAAAAAAGAGCCTCCCCTTGCTCCCAGGGACCAGTTTTTCTTCATCTGCTTGTCTGGCTTGGTGTGCAAGCATCCAACCAGCAAACAAGGGCAGTTTACTTTTAAAAGAAACATGGTTTTATTTATTACAAGCCATTTTAAATCATTTATTTGACTTTTAAATTATCCTTAGCATTGAAGTCTCATCTGCTTTGCAGATGGAAAGCAGCAACTGCTGAACAGCCTTTATTGCCTGGGATATCCCCAGCCCACAGTCAACCATTTTGATGTTCTTCTGATCACTTTCATTTTAATTTGTCCTTAAGGCTCAGCCAAGCTCCATGGATTTCCCAAGCAGGCAGTAATTGCTGTTCTGGAGGCCTTTTGAGCTGGCGCTGTATGGATCTGCTTGCTGACCAACCTCCCAGGCTTTCTGAATCTGCTGGGGCACAAAATGTGAGGGTGTGCTGTCCTCCTTCAGGGTCTTGCCTGCACGACACAGTTAGTTCTCCTTATTCCTCAATGAAGCCTTCTGGAGGCTTATATCAGTGTGAAAGGGGCTTCACAAATGCCGTGCCAGCTGTGATGCTCTACAGCCTGTAAACTCTAGACCAGGAGAGACGGTGCTCTTCCATCAAGCTACTTGGAAGTCATCTATAATTTGAAAGTAGCCTGGTGTTGTCACATGACTACCTCTCATGTTAAAAAAACAACTGCTGCTGATAATCAGGTCATCTATGGAGAGATCATACCACATGAAGCATCTTTTCCTCACCAAACTGGACCCATGGAGAGAAGCTGAGGAATGATGCTTCTCCTCATGTCAAATACTGTGAAGTTATCAGCATTACAAGGGCCACATTTTTCTTAATCCCTGCACATAGCACCACATTCCTTCCCAGAAAATGGTCTCTTGATGTTTGCTTTGTGTTCTAAACAAATTTCTGGCCAAATTTCTGGGATGTGTCTGACATGCATCCTTAAACTGATTACCCTTCAAGTTCAGTTCTTCATATGCACTAGCTGAAATGCATAAATAATTGAAAATTTAACGGTTGGAGTTATTCAGTACTAAATATATTTGTTAAGTTAACTTTGGGTAAGACTTTGCAATGAAGACCTTTGCTGTTCTGCTTATAGGTACAATGTTTGTCACTGTTACCGGATAAGTCAGACATACAGAAACAGCTTGATGCGCCTCCCTGATACAACGGATCAGTTTTTGTAGGATGACAACAAGGCCATGATTTTATGAAGCCTGTCTGGGGCAAAGCAGTGTTTTTGACTCAGGATACTGTCAGATACCCAAGACAGAAAGGACTTGGATCAGACCTATCCTCTGTTCTTTCAGCAATCTGCAAGTACAACCAGACAGTCCCCAGCCTACTTGGATGCACGGTGGCCTCTTAAAAAACAAGCCATCCTTCTTTTTGTTTCCTTTGCTGTCTTTTAAAACAGCAATATCTGAAACTTTCGCTTTTTGGCCACTTTCCCCTATTGCATGCCTGTTCTGCGACAGGAAGCAGCTAAGCTGGGTTTGCGGTGGGACTTCCCTGTAGTTTAGGGGGCTGCTGGCTGGGATGGGTTTGGTGGCTTTTGGTCTTCACACTGGCTGGAGCACTGCAGGTGGTGGCAGAAGGCTGAGTATCCTCCTTCAGGGACTCATGTTGCTTCTCTCTGGAACAGCTGTAGAGGGATGGAGTGCAACCATGAAGGGCCCATGGGGGACAGCAGAGGGTGGTGCAAAGTGCTGATGTCACACAAGTTGACCCAGACTTTTTTCACAGAGTTCATGGTGTTTCATGTACCTATGTTGGTAAGACGTTTTCTTTCTGAATCCTTTTGGGTTTAGTATCAATGCTATGAATGTACCATAGCAGAGAAGTTCTCCACTTCAGTCTCTTGTTGTGTACTTCCTTTGGTGTTGTGGGGTTTTTTTGTTGTTTGGTTTGGGTTTTTTATTTTATTAGTTTTAATTTTTATTTTTCAGTTTTAAATATCCTACCTTTAGTTTGATAGTTCACAGAAGGTCCCTTTATTCTACAGTATGAGACAGGAAAAAGAGAACCTCCTGATCAGTCTGTACCAGACATTACTTCATGTACTTTTATTCTCTCTCCACTGTTTTTCTCTGAAGATAATAATCCAGATGTTTTCAATCTTTTGTGAATTGCCATGTTCTTGATCCTACTTGTTGCTTTTCTTTGAATCCTCAGAAGTTCCCAGTCTCTTTGAGATGGCTGTGGATGGCTATACCACAGCAGTCTGCTTGAGGTTGTGCCACAGATCTGTGTCAAGATAGTCTGTCTTTTTGTTTTCTTCATCCTATTTTATCTGCACACTGAAAGGATGGAGTTGTTAAGCTTTCTGTTGCACAACAGCAAACAAGGCTGGGTGGCACCTGGGGGCAAAGACAATGATATAGGTTACTTCCTAAAGCATTCCCTATATATTTGTCCAATCTGTTCCTAAAGATCTCCAGTGACTCCACAGCCCTATAGGCCATTCCAGTGTTTTGTGACCTTTGCTATTAGAAAGACAGAAAAATACCTAACCTGAAGCTTCCTTGCTGCAATTTACAATTTATGTAGTTCCCATGGATAGGGGAAGCTTTTTCCACTTGTCTCTGCAATGGCCTGTTACATATTTGAAGACTCTTATCATGTTTCCCCTTTAGCATTCTCCTTTGGAACAACTGCAGTTCACCTATGTGTTTTGGTCATGTGTTCTAGATCTCTTATCATTCTTACTGTCCTTTCTGACTGGGCCATGTCTTTCCTGAGTTTCATGCCCCAAACCAGACATAATACTTCTAGCTGAAAACAACACTGTATAGACTGAATGGAAATGATCCCTTTGTGTCTTAAGAGGTATAAGCCAGTTCATACGTAACAGGATGGTGTGCAGGTAAATTCATGTATAGCTCATGAACAGCCGTAATCCCCTACTAAACCATCTTCTGATATACTGCTGTCCTGTAGCTCCACTGTAGATTCAGGGCAGGTCCTTTTCTCTGTCCTTACTGAGCTGAGCTCCATCTTCTCCACCTTACTCCTAAACTATCAGGAGGAGGCTGAACCTAAACCTGGACCCTGGCCGTTATTGCAGCCATCTCCAGACTGGTGCAATCTGAAAATTTAGCAGTCTTCATTCTCCAGTTGAACCATTGAATAGTCTGGTGCAAGTCCTAAGCAATTCCGTTCAGTGCACCCTTGTATTCTGAAAGAAAAGTCAGTCATAACTGCTTCCAAGAAGGTTTTAATAATTAGCTGGCATTGGCCTTAGAGAAATTTCTTCTAGTCCATTTCTCATTTTATGAGAAAGGCACCTGAGAAAATTACGTATCAGCAGCTCTACCTTCTTGCTTTTCCCTGACTAGAACCCCCCACCTGAAGCTGTTCCTTAGACATTTTTCACTTGTAGGGTATCTTAGCAGTTTGCCTGTTCTCCTAAATGCATAATTTAATGCAGATATAATGAACTTCTTTGGCAATTACATTGTCCATTCATCTAGCTTTTTAAAGGTCTCTGAAGTTTCCTTTCATCCCCTCTGGGGCCTGGTTAATTTCATAAATTCATACCTATGTTTTATATCTATCATATCCCAGTTCAGCATTTGTCTTTTCCCAATCTGTACTGTAACAACAAATGGGTTTAGGAGGGAAGGCTGAGGCCTTTGTTGTTAACCCGATGCCCTGATGAAAAGTGACCACTTAACTCTCTTCTCTGCCTTCTCTCTCCTGGACAAATTCTGACACTGTAAATTGTCAAATATATTCTGGAAGACAAAATAAGCTTAGGTTTTTTTTCTATATTCTTACCTTACTGATACAATCAATAATTCTAAGAGATTAGTGAATTAGTGAGATCTGATTTTCATTTACAAAACCTTGCCATAACACAATCTTTCAAAGGCTTTGAAAGACCATTCTGACTGATTTTCAGGTCAAGATGTATGGCTCCATAGCTTTGCTGGCAGTCCTGTTGTTCCAGCTTCTGAGAGTCATGGATATGCTCTATGTGATTTGGAGAATGGTTAATAGCCTCCTTGTTCCAGCATTTCCTTATTGTTCTGATGCTATTTTTGAGAGTACTACCAGAGGAGACCAGTAAAGGGAGGGGAACTATATGGTGTTTTTTATTACGAGACTGCAAAACCCTATACCTTTCCTTTTTTGCTGTGTTGAGCAATTTGTAAGTTCTAATTCTAACCTTTTATGGCTTTTTTACTTCTTCACTTTGAGAATCATTCCCATTTTCATATTCAAGGTCCATTTGTGCCCTTCTCATTTTCCCTTTCATCACTGCCAACTAAAATTTGAGATTTTCCTTTTTACTGGTTTTCATAGATTCAGATTTCTCTACTCTGTTGGCTTTCCTGCTGGCTCAAATAATACATGGAAACATGCCTTTTAGAATAACGGCTTTATCCTTGTCACCCTGGGAAGGTACAACCTCTTGGGTTTCATTGTTTTCAGGAGCTTCCATGTTAACTCCAACAGGCTTGGCTTATTTATTTATTTATTTATTTGTTTTGTTTTCCTGTTTCAACTTTGAACTTTTGGTTAATAAGTATCAATCTCCCATCATTATCACAATCTGGTCTCCTACATGCTCTTTGAATCTTGAGTTTTGCTTTAATTAAATCTTAGACTCGTGAAGAGGTGTGAATCTGAATTTAAAATAGAGTAGCTGCTCTGCATAAACTCTCAGTCCATGTCAGGTGGCGTGACGCAGCCTACACCACTTTAATATAAACTAAAGACTATTGACACAAAGCAGATATTAACTAGCTGGTTCCTCTGCACTGACTAACCTTCCCGTATGGGCAAGCCTTTAGCTAATGCTTCAGCTAATGCTATCTTTCAAATTAGATCCACCATAATACTTCAAACTAAAGAACTTGTCTGCAGTGGGACATTTGGAAAAGATTAAGATAAATTAAGTAAAGGTGTGACATTAAATTGCATTAGTTAAAGTCCACCAAATCTCTGTGTGGATGCTCTTTTACAGATAAAATATCCCCAGTTTCCTTTACAGTTAATTCTGAAAGTTTTAATCCTAAAGTGTTCATACTGGAGTTTAAGGCCCTCTTACTTTCCCATCTGCAGTTAATTTGACTTAAATGTCTTATGTAGACAGTTAATATAAGTTAAGAGTAGACAGTTTTCTGCTCTGTTTATAACTCGTGTTTTAAGGCAGAGAAATTGGTTCTCTAAATTGTACCTCATCATGACATTTGACAATTTATGTTAGGCAAAGTACTACATTATCATCATTTTTGTTGCTTTTTGTGCCTATTAGGCATCTCAGCATGGAATATTAAACATCCTCTTTTCTTTTAATCTTGAGATTTATAATGCTAATTTTACAGGAGTGCCATGTGTGGCCAAGTCAAACATATTAGAGATATCTGAATGTCTTGTGTCTACGCGAAACCATCTTGACTGATGTTGGCTTGCTATCTTTTTTTTCAGACAGGAGTATCTCTCACCAAACCATTACTTTTCATTTTCTCTGGTATTTCTGTGATGTCTTCAGCTCAAGTTTTAAAGCACTTTAAGCTTCTGTATTATTGTAAAATAAATGAATGAGTCAAGTCAGGTGTGTTTGTGGCATTAGAAACTGATGTGAAGACTTCTTCAGGGCTCAGGTGGAACAGATTTTTCCTCTAAACAGATTTGGGAACAGCAAGATTGCAGGAACAAGTTAAAGAGCCAGGTGCATGCCCCCTCTCCTTCTGACCAATATTTTCCATAATTATTTTTGTTTACAAGCATCACATGTACAGGTATTTTGAGACATACAGTACCATCACACTTCTCTGCATTAGTTAATGTCAGGACACGCATAGCATACAACTACGTGACTGACAGCATTACTATTGATTCCTGATCTGCTAGCAACACAGAACAACACAGACTCAATTGAGTCAGGCTTATGTGTGATCATGAATTGAAAGTCTGCTATAAAAAAATACAATTAAAATAAAAATTCAATCAGGGATGCTGAAATGAAGAGGAACAATTTACAGACAAAGTGAGTAGATGCTCAGACAATGGACTAATTTAATTTTCTGCATTGAATATTTGTGCTAGCTAAAGCCTTGGTGAAATACTTGAATTAAAAAAAAAATAGATTTTTTTTTCTAGCTTTCAATAGCAATCATTCCCTAATTGCATCCACTGTTGAAATGTCAGGCATTCATCAAGGCATTTCTGAAGCACCATTCATTTTATCACTGGCACATACTAGTATTAACCAGGGCTACAGTGATCTTAGTGGTCCAAGGATGGAGGGAAGGAGAGAATTTGGAGAAGGCATTCAGTTTTCCTTCTGATTCAGTATCTGATAGCTCCATTTAATTTAATGAGATATTTGCATTTCTGAAGTTAGACATGTACTTGGCTGTGTTGCCGAACAGGGAACAAGACCTAAATCTGTGATGAGGACTAAGTAGTGTTTAACTCCACTTCTGTGGCAACAAGCCATTTATATTTACTTTTTGCTCTCCATCCTGGGTTTAGTGCTAATGATGATTACTGTTCCTTTATGCAGCTACAATTTTTCTCAAAGGGCTTCCAGGCCATATTTCAGGTCATGCCCAGCCTGTAGGCTGGTGAGATGTGCTGACACTCAAGCTTAAACTAACTTTCCTACTACAAGAATAATTCAAGTGGGTGAGGGAGAAAACATCTGTTAACTCTGAAAGTCAAGCTACTCCCATCCTCCACTGACGTTACTAACTTCACTTGTTTGGTGATTCCACCAGCACAGAAAAGGCTGGTTTAGTGGGGCTGGGGAAGATGAACTGTGTATTTCCAAACCCTAATGCCCCATCCTTCCTCCTGGATTCATCTTGGGCCACACAATACTTTTTGAAAAGCTAGAAGAGGATTTAAAAGGAGTTAAAAGGATAAAGCAAGACCTGGAAAATTGATTTAAAATTCTGATACACAGTCTTTTAGCTATTGGGGTTAAACTGATGATTAGAAGCTCAGGCTAGATGAACTCGGACAAATATGAAGGCATAATTTTAAGAGATGGGTTAAGTGGCCATCTCAATAACCTACCTAACCAGTGGCTTTCTTGCTCAAATTCCCAGACTGGATCTTTCCAGATCAGCTGCTGCTTCATTAGAAGTTACTGGCTTGATGAATAAATTGAATGAATGAAACCCATCAGTTTGTCACGCAGGAGGTCAAATGAAGATGGTTCTGCTTATTCTACAGTTACTTCTGAAGCCACTTCCTGTTTAAGACATTTTAAAACACACATATATTCTCCAACACTTCCCAAAAGCCACACTTTTAGATAGCTTACTTGTGCTTCCTGGTTTTCTTGGGTTTTTGATTTATACAGAAAAAGGAATTAACAAAAGGGGGGGGGGGGGAGAGGGACAAATGCCTTTCACTTTCCATTATTTAGCCCTCCTAGGAGAAAAAAAAAAAAAAAGGTAAACTGAACCACACTCTGCTCCACGCTGCACACACACTGCCTTTTAGAGGGTTTCTCTGGGTAACTTCCAGAATTCAGAAGCGATAGGGAAGACTATATTAAAGACTCTTAAATTTTTCCCTAGGGAAAAGCAGCGTTTGCCTGCTATTTCCAGAGTGGCATGAGGAAAACGAATAAAAAGGTCAAAATGTAAGTGCTCTTTTAAGCTCTTCAAGCTCTTGGCTTTATATATTCCTTTTCTATTTTGTTATGTCAAACCATTAATAAACACCATAGTACTTAAGGTGTGTCAAAACACCAATACAAACGTCAGTGCCACAGCTGGGTGGCTTGGTGAGCAACTGTCATCATTTGAAAATCTGTGTGGCAAAGGTCCAAGGTCTGACGTGTTCCTTCACTATCCTCTGCCTCGCTTGGGGGGACTTCCAGATGAACAAAGTACTGTAGGCTTCTCGCTCAACACCACAATTTGTAGGCACTCGGTTCCTCTTGAAACAACAACAGAAAACTCCACCCTAACCCAAACTGACATTTGAAAATCAGAGCATGTCTTGATGAAGGTCACAGAAGAATGGTAAGAGAGTAATAAGAGGACGCAAACATGCTGAGTCTTACTTTTCTGCATTAAGTACAAGACACGCTTTCTTCTCCATATTACTGTTAATTGCCAAACAAATTTTTCTGAAAAGCAGGTTCCAACTGATGCGTCCTTGGAGAAAGACTTGTGCTCACCCTGCAGAAAGCTTTAATTCCACAGTGTATCTTAAAATAAGGCCTTAGCGCTGAGCTTCCTGACTCAGACTTAATGAAATGCAAAGGATTTTTTTTGACAGGTAAAAATGAATAGTCACCAAATTAAGTGTCTTTGAAGAAAAAAAGAAAATCAAAGCTGCACAAACGTACATTTTCGCTCGGTTTCTAAAACTCTATTTTTGGAAATTGAATAGTTTTCCATTTTATTCGGCATGCAGGTTGATAGCGTTTCTTGTATTTATGTAAAATTGTAGATGACTGCATGAAATGTAGCTACATTTTATTAACTCCTTCCTCTGCTTATGCAGAATGAATACTTGACGCAATCATCTTGAAATACATGTACTGCATAAAGCCAGGGCAGACCTTCAAACTGGGCCCTGATGTCATTACTATTTTCTTTTTAATGCAGCTTATTACACTGTAACTCGACGGCACAACCTATGGCTTGCATAAGGATACACAATCTTATTAATGCACCTCATTAAAGGATATGGAAACCCTACATAAAGCTGAATCACCAGGCAGATGCATCTTACTTCTAACAGGACCTGAACGAAGGGCATAAGCTTTGTCATGGAGACAGGGAGATCCTGTAGGACAACCTGGGAATAACTTAAGCTTGTAGCAAAAAAGCTTTGGGCTGCTGCTGATTGAATGACTCACAAAGCTAAGCCTGATGAAGCTGGTAAATTTTACCCAATAGAGCTTATGCAGATTTTGGCTTTAATCCGGCAGAGTTGAAGCACATGCTTAATTATAAGCAAGTGACATAAAGCAATTTAGTTAAGAATGTGTTTAAGTGCGTTGTTGGCCTAAAGACTTTATTTACAGAAACGTGGAAGAGTTGGTAACCCTTAGAAGCAATGAAGTTGAGAGATGCAAGAGACCAATGCACAGTCAAGAGCTGTAAAGGCGCACACAGCTTAGGTGGACAGCTACTCCACAGAATGCACGGGATTCAAGATTGGCCTCTGGCAATTCTCTAGAGTTTACTGTGTAGGGTCATGGAGAACATCACGGTCATGGAGATTACAGCGCAGAAAACTCATCTCAGGACTTCCCGATGGCTCTGGAAGTCCCAGGAGCTCCACAGCCAACCCCTCCATAAGCACACCCGTGACCCAATGCCTCCCCCATCAGGCCCGCGCCCCTCTGCCTCAGAATGCCCCGGCTTCACCCGAAAGCAGCGGGGCGCGAGAGGACAGGGGTTACTTCAGCCTCCTCCCTGGCACCGCCGGACCGTTCTGTTTCCCCGTCCTCACAGAAATGAAGCCGCTGGGAAGATACGGGGAGTTGGAGGGCGCACCCCCAGCCTCTCTGGCAGCTCCATCCCCTCCCCGAGGCCTGGCCACCTACCCCGCGCGGCCCGCGGGCCTTTCCCGCCCCACCTTCCTTTAGGGCGCGCACGGGGTAGCGCTCGCCCGGCGGGGCTTCTCACAGCCGCGCTCAGCCTCCTGACCCACGCATAACCCGGGCCGCCGGCACCGCCCGCCTCGGTCTCGGTCTCGGTCTCGGTCCCGGCCCCGCGGGAGGCCCGGCCCGGTGCGGCGCTGCCCGACTCCCCTTCTCCTCTCCTCTTCCCTCCCCTCTTCTCCTCCTCGCCGCGCCGCCGGCCCGCAGCACCCGAGCACCCGCCGGTCCTCCGGGCGTGTTTCCCATGGTGCACCGCGGCGCGGCGGCGCTCTGGCCAGGCTGTCGCTGTCACCGCCAGGAGGAGGCTGAGGGAAGGCGCCGCTCGCCCCGCCGGAGCAGGAAGGAGCCACCGTCGCCAACTTCCCCTCGGCCTCCCCTTCCCCGCTGCCGCTGCTTCCAACCCCCCGCGCCCTGCCGCCGCCCCGCCATGCCGGGGGCCGCGGCACGGGCACTCTGAGCCGCCGCCGCGCCCCGGCCCGGCCCGCCTTCTCTTCGCAGCTGTGCGGCCGGTAAGTGCCGCCGGGCGGGAGCGGGAGCTGGCCGGGTTCGGCTGGGCCCTCCTGCCTGCCCGCCGCGGCGGCGGGAGGTGCACGGAGAGCGAGAGAGAGGGAGGGAGGGAGGGAGGAAGGGAGGAGGAGAGGCGAGGGGAGGAAAAGAAGGGGGAGCCGCGGCTCAGCTCGGAGCGGCCCGGCGCGGCCCGCTCGCATGGGCCGCGCTTGGCCCCGCTGTCGGAGAGGCCGAGGAGTGGGGAATGAGGAGAGAGGCGGCGGGCGCTCTCCCTCCCCGCTCTTCGCAGCGGGGTAGGCGCCGAGAGCTCCCTTCCTCTCCCCCCGGCCGGTGGCGGGGCTTCCGTGGCAGAGCCGGCCCCCAGCGCGGCGGGCCGGGAGCCGCGGGGCCGCGGCGGGGCCAAGCAGGCCTCGCCGGGGAGGTCGGTATGGGGCCGGCGCTGCCAGTGGGGCCGTCTGACAGACGGACAGACAAAGAACTGGGGAGCTGCAGACTGACGGACAGGCGGGCTGGCACCGTGTCCCGTTGGCCTCATCTTCCCGGGCGGCCGTATCCTCCCGCTACCCGCGTCTCCATTGTTCCTGGTGTAAGCTAGGTGAAGCGTGCCGACTTGTGAACGTTCATTTAGCTTAATTTTTGGTGGTGTTTTTTTTTTTTTTTTTGAATAACCTTTTCCGAATCTCCTCTCAGGTGTTCTGAGGAAGCTTTTGCAAGGGAGCTCTCTGCAGTGTCGGGAGATGCGAACAAGTGCCGGGCTGGAAGTGGCTGGGAGGGCAGGGGGAACCAGTAGGAGTTGAGGAGAAATCAGTTGGGCTTTAAACACTTTCACTCTTCATCATCTTTTCTCTCCTAACTGCTGCCAAGGCTCAGTTGGGATGAGTGTAGTGATGTCTGTATTAAGCTGGCTCATAAAAAAGGAAGACATTTATGTTGCAAATGTAAATAATGTCTCTGGTTACTTTGTTTTCATAAACTGTACAGAACAGCTGTAAGGGTTTCTGCACAATCATAAAAGAAGTAAGTATGTGGAATCCAGTAATCACAGCTTTAGTCTTGCTTTGAAAGTCTTTCTGGAGCATGACCTATCTCTTGTTTGCATCCATGTGGCATTCTGGTCCAAGAAGTTTCAGATGAGAGAGATGTCTTATTCCTGATGAGCAGCATCTTTGCCATTGGTACAAGGAAAATGACTATGAGGACTATGTTTTTCCTTTTGATAGGATCTCAGTTGCTTTGTTTATTTGCTGTACTTATTCACAGATTATCAGTAATGCTTTATGAGCTTGCTGAAAATACGTACTTGGGCCTGTCACACTTAAACACTTTGGAGGGTCCATATCAGATTTCATCCTTGTAAGTAGTACAACTGCAGTCATTCCCCATGAGTTCGATGAAACATGCCTTCTAAAGGAAAGAGGTGGAAAAAGAGTGCTAATCAATTTTTGATGGAGTTCTTACTGTGTAAGCATCGGACTAGGTAAATGAATGGTCTGATCAAACTTAAAATGCATTCTGCTATGTAAAAAGTTTGCATGCCTTCAGGCAGCTTTTCAGTGTTCCCCTTGCAGTGTTTGGGATTTGTGCATGTGTCCAGTGACAGCTGACATCTGTAGAAGCTTTGGTTGTGCTGGGAACTCTAGAGCTCACGAGGCCTGCTTTTCTGTGGATCTCATGGGATCTGCAGCTCCTGGTACAGGGTACAGACAGATTCATAGGAGAGGTGTTCAATCCTGCTTTTATTGCAGTAATTAAGGAAAACTCCACAAAATTAATTTTTCAACTGCACAGTTTCCTGAAAACTGTTGTCATGGCCTTTCTTGATGAATACTCAGCTGAATGTATGTGTTTATTCAGTTTCCAAAAGTATTTTCTTCGTAGTTGTTTCTGGATATCTGCATATCCCTCTTCCTCAATTATGTAGTTAGTCAGTGGGCTCATGTAACGAATAAAGCTAAAAAAGATGAGGCTGACCTCTTGCATTTAGGCTGTCATGTGCACATATATTTTTTCTGTCTTTACTCAGGGTAAGGCCTGAGAGAACAGATATATATGTAATCTGTGTTTCTGTTACTGTCCTTCTTGTTCAAATGTGTTTAATTTCTACTGTATTGCAAACATACTCTATTTATGGAGAATCCCCAATAAAATAGATTAAGCATTCAAAGCATAAGTAGTTAAGTAGCTACTTGAAGAACCACAATGGTTAAAAAAATGGAAGAAAAATTACTCAAAATTCAAAAAGTTATATTGCAGGCTAATTTGTTCATTTGAAGGAACACATACTTCTGTAATACTATGTAGATTCTCAAAAGATAGTTTTCTGTCTCAGTTCAGTTTATACAAGTTTATTTGTGTGAGGATTTAAAGCTCTGTGGAGCATGTCCTGGAGACATTTGGCATTGTAAAATCATTGAGGTTGGAAGTAATGCTACAGTTGAACTTTGAGAATACTAAGAATATATTACTGCAGTGAAATAATGGTGACAGTACATCTGAAAGGGTATATCTCACTTCTAGATGGGTTCTTTGCACCACAGGCTAGATAATGTAAATTTGCAAATAGTGACGTTTAGGATATGGGTTGTTAGTGTATGGATTTAGGTAAAATATTTTCAGATCTACTGATGGGGAGGAAGGGTTTGTTGTATTCTAGTATTTAGGGGAAAAGCAGAGTGGGATTGTCTTCCGTATCTGCTGCTAGAGATCTGTGATGCTTTTTGTGACTAGTATCTTTGTAGAGTCATCCTCTTGTGAGGACTGCTATGTGTCCTTTTGTAAATACTACAAATGGAGACCTGTCTGTATGGAGTAGCTTGATAGAGTGGGCCTTAATCAATCCAAACCTCTTTAAAGGTTTAGCGTAATTTAGGATTAAGTTTGATTTACTTTTGGCTCTAATCTAAGATACATTTTTCTTTGTGAAGTAACAGAAGTTAAATAAGAAATAGTGATGTTAGTGTAATGTCTTTGATAAATAAACATACTGCTGTTACCCTAAGCATGAAACCAAAGTGTCCAGCTTTCTTGTCTAAACTTAATAGTGTCTTGTACATTAAATGAATGGGACAAGGAGCGAAAAGTAAATGCTGTTGGGAATATATTTTATTTTGAAGACTCTTAAGTGGATCTAACAGAAATAAATGTGTTTTATTTAAAATAAGTACTTTTTTTTTGCCTTTGCCTGACATTTTAATGAGAGATGCCTTTCAGACCAGCATCATTTATGGTGAAACAGATTCAAACCTCCAGTTTACAGGCTAATCTACACAGCTGAGTGTTTAAAGACAAATGAAGTCCCACAGAGTCTCTGTGGACATAAGCAGCCATGGGTGTCTGATTCTATCAGTTTGCAGGCCCTACGTGAAGGATCAGTACTACAGTGAACTTGCACTTTAATTTGTTAGTTTTTTTGACAGAAATACTTCTGGGGAAATAGTGTTTCTTGAAGTACTGATATTCATCAGTTTCTTTTCTTTTTGTCACTCCTGTTTATTGGAATCTATGCAGAAACCCTTGAACTAGTATTGAGTTTATACATTTGACTTACTGTTTTTAACAGCTGAGACATAGCTATTGACAGGCTATGTCAGCAAAACACAACCATTGGCTATAATGTATGGCTATATGCCAAGCACAAACTTCTGTCTAACAAAAGAAAATCCATTCAGATTTTCATGAGATTTATTTTCATTTACACAAATGCTGTTAGTTACTGCATTTCTGTATTTTCCAGAGAAGTTAAAAACACAATTCCACCTGTTTAGCTTGTTAGTACTCTATATACATTTTAAATACACATTTTTTATCATCTTCATAGAACAGAATATTTTTTACATCGGCAGTAATGCCGTGAACTATACAAGTGACATAGGCTTAACGTATTTAACTTACAAATTATTGTACAAATTAAGATACAGTAACCAGTATGAGTATTCCAGTGTTGTCTGTGATTAAATTGTCTTCCTCTGATTCCGTATAGAGATATTTTTCATGTGTCATTCAGCATGTGGGATAAAATATCTGGGAATATCTGTTAAGAGTTTCTCACAGAACTTGATTATAAGTGTGTCCTAGGGGAAAATTCAGTGTCTTTTAGAAAGACTGTGGAAAGCACAACATGCAGAGAGGTTAGAATCTCCTGATAGCTTCTTCCATATTGTCAGGATTTTATTTTGGGATATGGTATAGAGACTAATACTGTTTTTGCTCAAAAATAATTTTTAGTGTACTCATATTATCAATATGTTAATATATTCAAGGCTATGATATCAAGAGATAACAGTGTGAATACTGTAATATAGTTAATGTGTTACTAATTTATATCACTTCATGATTTTATTGCATTTGGAAAACAGCAAGCCCTAGCTCTTTATGGAGTATATGTGTTGGCCTGATCCTTCAATTCATGTACTCTACTGGCTCATTAGTATCACGGTATTTGCATCTTGTCGCAGTTTGTGCAGAAAGCCTTAAGACAATACTGTCTAATTCTTCACTTGTGACTAGGATGACATTTTTATAAGTGCAGAATTAAACAGTCTGATGATAAAATGAAATCTGTGTGGGAAGAAGTTCCAACCTGCAAACAGCAGTAGGGTATAATTTATGAACAGCCTATCAAGTATGAACTGTTGAGATTTCTTCCGCTGGAAAAAAAAGAAAAAAGCCACCACCAAAAAAACCAAGGTGCCTATAAAATGTCTGTAAACCAAGATAATTTCTTGATATAACACCTGATGTTACTAATGCATAAGGCTGCTGGAATAGGTGTGTAAGTGAGCTTGGATATGATGCTGATGAGCCGCCTTCTCTAAAATTGTTCCAAATGCCAGCTACATCTATAAGGTAAAAAGATGTATCTTAATGTCTTTGTAATAATTTCCCATAAAGTTAAATTTTGCTACTTATGTACCCCAATATGGATCTAAAAGACATCATTAGAAAGGTTTACAATGCCAGTAACATCATGACTAGGTCATGTTACCTTAGTGCAACAGTTGAAGTGAGAAATATTGATGCTGGGCAAATTTAATGTAGTCATGTGTTCACAAGCAGTGTTTAAGAAGGGGGAACCAAATGTCTTTTTACACTCTCTGAATTTTAACTGCTACGCGATTGCCCTGAAAATTTGCTTTTCTGTTGTTGGGATTAGATTTGAAACAAGAAAATGGTGATATGCTCCTAAAATGTGTGGATATACATCTGTGTATATATAAACCACTTGTAGCATGTATTCATGGTAATGTCTGGCCTAAAGCTCTAGTCACTGAGTATGAGAAATGTTCAGCATAAAGCAAGGTTTATTTTGCCAAACGATAAGCACCATATTATGTAGATTAGCTGCCTGGGATGTGGCTGGGATCTGTAGTTTACTGGGAAGGGGCAAAGCAAGTAAGCAACTTCGAAAATCACTGGCTTTCTGCAGGCTTTCTTTGGTTGTGAAAACCATTTAGTCTTGCTTTTGACAAGTGAATCTACTACCGCATTGCAAACATTCTTCAGTTTTGTGAAGGGAGGGGAAAGGGAGCAAAATGAGTATTAAAGCCAAGAAATGAGTACATTTCACAGGATCCATACATGATTTTTTGGTCTGTG